CTCCCCTCACAGGCCAGTGCCCTGTCAGCTGGGTTTACAGCAGAGGCTTCTTAAATAATCGCTGGCCCGCCCCCTGGTCGGTGTTTGAGGGGCTCAGGAGCGCCCCATCTCCAGGGGTCCACCCTCCTTTCTTGCTGGCAAACTGGGCCAACTGAGAAGTGTCTGCTTCTCTTAGAATGGCAACTGGAGGATCTAAACTAAGCTTGGCAGAGTGGCGTCGTCAGGAAAACCACACGTTTCTTGTTGTTTCCTATTCGTTTGTTTCCTTGGCTACAAAACGAGGATGATACCACTGTGAGAATTAACAGCACAGGAGGAGACTAGCCCAGTGCGGGGCGTGCGGCGGGCTGAAAAACAGACACCCCCCCAAGGTCAGTAGTCTCTGGGACGAGGAGGCTCACGTGTACATATGGTTCTTTAGTCGTAGGGACTCGTGTGGCCTAGCGTGTAATTCCGTGGTGCAGATTAAAGCTCTTGCTACCCGCTTGCCTGCGCTGTTGATTTACTCCGCACACTCGCACAGCCAGTGTCACCCTCAAGGTGGCCGGGTCCATGCGGGGCTGGAGCAACATCTGTTTCCTCTGGGAGCACAGCTGTGAGCCTGAGCGGCACGTGGAGACGGCTCTTCGTGGCATCAGCTGTTGGTCCCTGGAACGTGGGGAAGGGAGGGGAAGTGGGTGGGACCCGCCCTCACCACAGAATATCCGCCCGATTCCTCCTGGCTGTGGTAGGGCAGACACCCTAGGATTCCATCTGGAGGACACTGTAGCCCCATGCCCTCATTTCACACACGAACAAACAGATTCTTTGGGGCTAGGGAACTGAGGGGAGCTGTCACGTGTGGTGGCAAGGGCTTGGGCTTACAACGAAACTAGTTAAAACCTGGGTTCTGGTTCTGCCGCTCTTCAGAGATGAAGCTGGCCAACTTGAGGCAGGTTACCTAACTTTGATTCTCGATTTCCTCCTCTTTTAAATGAGGCAAAGATTACCTACTTTACATTGTGCAATTTTAAAGGAGGTAATGATGCTAAATTGAAATAGGACAGTCATTCTCCTAATACATGTTCACACTTGTCTCTGATCCTTTTAAGAAAGGAGTCAGCCGAGGGCTCAGGAATGCAGGGAGCGGCTGAGCCCCCCCTGGGGCAGTGTCCACGTGGCCTTCAGGGGGCTCCCACCTGAGCGCTCAGCCGTGGCATCTCACACACAGTTGGAGAAATCTGTCACTATGAAGGGAGAGAATCAGGGATGCTAGATGCTAATAACCAACTCAGTTCCCAAAGGGCTAAGGAGGTTTTTGAAATTTTAGTTTAGCTGTTTCCTCTGCCCCCATCTCCTCCGTCTGGTGGACAGAATGAGACACCCGCCTCGTGCAAAAATAAATAAATAAATAAATAAATAAAAACTCAGCTACTAAATGGGAAGAAAATATGAGGCTTAAACCACTTAACTGGACACGAGGTTGTCTTTCCCCTTTTTGGCAAATGAAAGGTGGTTCTGGGTCTTACTGACCCGGCCCGAGGTCAGCGGCCTTTGATAACGGACCGGGGGAAGGGGATCATAGAGACCCTCTGCGAATCGGCCAGCTGCCGATCTGTGAGTAGAACCCAACAGGGAGGGCCGTGCAGTTCCTCCAGGCCTTTTCCTCAAAGCTTTCATTCTCTTCCTTTCTCGTCGGTTACAGATACTGGGATGTGTGTGTCCACTCTTGACTCCATAAGAAAGCTATGTGTGTTTCTTTGGGTTCTGCCTTTAGAAGAAAATTCTGGTATGCGCCCCAGATCCAAAAAGGGGTACTGTCTATTCATACTCCTCCACGCGGCCAGGTTAGAGCGCACCCCCTAGGACACTGTCCTTAACCCCTCACTCCGGTCCTGTGCGCCAATTCACACGTGCCCGTGACAGCAACTGCCTTCTACATGGCAGCGATGGATTTCCTTGTCAGGGTCTGAAAGATTCCCCTCCGTGGGGTCCAATTATTAGCTTCCCCAGCCACAACTGGGCAAAAATCAAAGCTGTCTTTTTTCAGGGGACGCTCCTCATTCTTCATTTTCCTCTACCTTGTCATTAACTTTCCAACCAAAAATTACCTGCGGCATGATCGTGCCTGCATGTCCCTCTCTCGTCAAATCCTGCCCTTTTCCCCTTCGCCCCCCAGGTGTTACCGCCGCCGTTTGTCTCCCTTGCCAGGTGCCACACTCATCCTTGTCCCGTCTCAGAATCGAATATTCCGAGAGGGTCTTAGGAGTTTAGTGCTCTTGTGTTCCTGAGGGAATTTTTTTCAGGGACTCCCCAGCCTTAGGTCATCAGACTATCCCAACTTCTTTCCAGTGACGAAGGCCTATGGAAGCCTTTCCCAGCAAGACAAGGAACAATACGCTACCTTGTCCAAACAAAGACCTTCCAAGGCAGCTGGGCAGGTCGGCTGGGAGCAGCCTAAGCTTTGACAGACCAGCGTCCAGGCCCTGGCTCTCGGCTCACAGTGCGTGCCCTCAGGATCATCTCTGCAAAATCTCTCCATTTCTTCACGTAAAAGTGTGGGGGCTGACACCTCTCTCACACCAACACGGGGTAAAACGATAGTCTGCGGGTACGGTCTGGCGGAGTTCTGACATTTGATCCATGATGGCCACCGTGTGCCCTCCGCTCCGGGACTCTCCTGTATTAGGCGTTGAGTCCTGTCACCAAACTCCAGTTCTGCTCCCATCTTAGCACTAGAGCATCGGCTCATTAATTTGGGATGTTTTGCCTGCATCCTCACTGCCTAATGCAATGCCTGGCACGGTGCCTATAGAACCAGTGAATAAAGAAATGAAATCTGACAATAGATTTAAACATTCATGTTTTAAATTAGAATTTTAGATTGGCCCTTTCCTCCACTTCTGCTTAGGCACTCAGTCCTTCTGAGGAAGCTAAGGCCTTCCTAGGGTGAGGCCCTCACTTCTCTGGTGTTTACGCCGCCTGGCAGTTGCCCACCCATCACTCACCCATTCCATGGTCTATCCCTAGTCTTGCACCAGGTGTAAGATCAATACCCTCATTAAAGCAACCGCGTAAAGGTGTAAAGGCCCTGGCCAACCTCGGCAGGACATCACCTGCAATGTAGGGGCTGGTGGTCCTGCCCCATCCACCACTGCTGCCCCAGCTGAGGAAGTAAAGAAGAATCCGCGGGTGCGATCATGACAGCAGAGCTTTGGTCTTTTTCACTAAACCTCTTTCTGTAACATGTTCAATAAAAAGCTGGTTTATTTTTTCCTTTTAAATTTTAGATCGTTAAAAGTCAAAAACCGCCCCCAGATTTAGCCAGAACCGCTGGCGCACAGGAAGAGGTCAACAAGACAGTGGAACGAACACATTTGGTAACAGGATTATGTCAGGGGTTTTTCTCCCCGTCCCTGTTCCAGGACTAGGCTCATGACACCGGCCATGTTGCAGCACGTTCGTCTTGATTCTGGAGTCACAGTCTGAATATCAGATTCTGTCTCCGCAAATGAAGTGTGACCTTGGGCCAGTTCCTTTAAGCCTCAGTCTTGTTATCGACAAAACAAAGATATGAATAGTCCTATCTACATCACAGAAGTGTTGAGAATTAAGATAACACATGTAAAAAGCTTGGTACAGGGCCCATGATAAGGATTCATGCCCAAGGTTTCCGTGTACGACACTTACTTAGAGGTTATCCAAATACCCGCCATCTTTTTCTTTGCTTCTGTTGAAAATGAAAAGCTTCTCAAGTTTAAGAAATCTCTGTTGGTCTCTATTAAGCACTCACTTCAAGCCAAGCACTGACCCTGCCAGCTTTGGGGAATCCAGGAAGATCTTTCTTAAGCAGTTACAGCTTCAGAGGAGTAAACAGAGTGTACATTTCAGAAATAGTATGTGAGGCCATGAATGAGGTGATCACTGGTCCTGGAGTCCGAAAAGGTGGCACTTGACCCACTGGGTGGCAGGGATGGGCCACAGAAGGCTGGTGTGAGCCTCGAAGGAGCAGGTCGCCAGACCAGAAATGGGGACAAGGGAAATCTGGGCGGAAGGGAGAACTCACAGCAAAGCCAGCAAATGACTTCGCAGGACCCCGCCCTGTGCTTTGAAGACCCTGGGGTCCGGCCTTCCTACTGCCCGGATTCCTAGGTCTCTTTGGAAGAGTCACTGCCAACGGCCCCAAGAATGGACTGAGTTGGCAGATGGGAAATGGACTGGTCAGGAGACCTGCTCAGAGGCTGGAACCTCCATCCAGGTGAACGGAGGTAAGGTAACCAGAACAGCAGGTTGCGGGAAGTGGGAGCGCACTACTTCCAGGCATTCAGAGGGCTGAGCTGACTGGAGTCCAGCTGTTTCAGCATTTGCCTGCAGGCGCTCCACAGGCGAGGGCCTGGAGGGCTGGGTCGGGGAGAGCACAGTCTGCTTAAGGTCCAATGCTAAATCCTCGGGAATGCTTCCCAGATGCTTTTTTACAGACTGAATGGTATATCAGAATTGTCAAACTGCTCTAAACTTTAAAACGATGTGTTGTTTTTTTTTTTAAGCAGAAGTTCAAAGACACGAGGGATTTCCCCGGGCAACAGGATCAGGAAGGGGACAGTCGTTTGGGGAGGAAATCAGGTGTGTGGAGCAGGAAGCCAGTCCTGAGGATGATTCCTCAGCAGGGGGAAACCGCAATATGGCTGCTAGTTACAAAACTAGGAATTTTATAAAACTCGTATGAAGGATGCCTGGGGGTTTGTGTTGTGCACAAATTGTAGACTGCTGATTTTTGATACCATATATTATTTGAAAACAGTTAACTGTATTACACAAAATTAACTGAAGTGACAAAATTCAGGTAAC